CTCGTCCCTGACGTAGTGTAGTCCGTACTCGACCGTCTTGGAGAGGTAGTTCAAACAGTTCTCCCGTGGCCTTCTGAGCAAGCCTGATCAAGGCTTCCTCGGCCGGCTGAGTCTCCTCATCTGAGTCCTGGTCCTGCAACCATTCCCTCGTACACGGCACCGTAAGTGCCCCAGGCTTCTCAGCGACGCCATGTTGACGTAGGAGATCTCTTATGTACCCAGCCTGGGATATGTGTATGCCCTGTCCCATCGGCCTCAACTCCACTCCCAGAAAACGTAGATGCTCTTCATCCATCCATTGTAACGTTGAGCACTTCCAGTCATCAGTGAGCCATTTGTAGACAGTCTCAATGATCTTGGTGATGGACAACACCAACAAGTCATCGACGTAAATCAGGAGGATCCCCCTGATTTCGTCGCTGCCCACCACCTTTATTCGCCACATGTTCTCCTCCGTTTCCAAGCTCTCAAGGATCAAGACCTCGTTGTCCATGGGTATGCGAGCACTGGATAGTCGTTCGTTGCGGAATACCTCCCACCAGCGGGGGGCTTCCCTCAAGCCATAGAGAACTCGTTCAATGCCCCACACTTCTCCAGCAGCCGCTCCTCCTGCAGCTGCTACCACCGTGGGCGGGGTCATACCAAATAGCTTGTCACCCGGCATGGGAGCGAGAGTGAAGGCGTTGGCAATGTCAGTGGCTCCGGCTCTCCAGGACCTTGTAACTGCAAACGCAACCGACAGTCGTAGCCCGTCGGCAGATGTGCCTGATGCGTAGACGTTGGCCTTGTCTGCCGGCAAGTAATTGCCGCAGACTACGATCCGGCACTTGCGCCGGTATTTTCCCGCCTTCGCATCGTTAGGGTCGCTCGGCGGCTTTGCCGTAAACACTGCTTTGCCTGGTAGGATGATCATGCCCTTCGACTTCAATTCTCGTGCTTTTTCTGCCGAAAGCCGCCGAACTGCGCCACTGCTGACCAATGCGTCTACCTCCTTGAGGATAGCTCCCTTCCAACGTTCCAAGTAACGGCGTGCTTCTGGTAGACTAACGTTATGCACCACTTCTAGTGGCCCCGGAAGCGCCTCCAATATTTTCTCCACCTCATAGTCCGCTGCCTCGCCAGGGGACACCGTAGCGACACGCCGCAGATCTCGTCGACCTCGTTCATGTATAGTAGTGCTTGTCCCCACTCCAATTCCTCCTCCAGCATATTCTTGAAAGGACCTTCCCGACCTCCTTCTTGTTCTAGCGCACAACGTAATACTTGAACACGTCTGTCCAAACCATCATCTTCTCCTTCTTCACCAGACGAGGTAATCCCTTCATCCTCAAGTTCCACTTCAGGTACATATACTCGTTCCACCCCAGTACCTTCCAAAGGGAACCCGTCCTTGGAGAGATGCGCCGCCGTAGAAGTACTCAACGTAGATGCCCCCAAAGGAGTAAGCGCCGCCACAATCCAGCGCTCCGTCTCCTCACTGATGTAAGAATGTAGCTCCTTTGCATTGAAGGCCGCAACCCTTCCACCAATTTCCACCAAAGTGCCGTTGCCGATCTTTCCGTCTGGTTGTTCTCTTGTTAGTGGCTGTGAACTTCCGCCTCCACGTATTGAGTTGCCCTCTCCGCCCTCAGCAACCCAAAGTCCACCACTGACCGTTGACCCGATCTCGATCACGTAGTTCCAGGAACCTGCTTGGTTTC